GAGAGGAAAAAAAGAGAGAAAGAGAGAGAGAGAGAGAGAGATGGAGAGAGAAGAGAGAGAGATGGAACAAAGGAAAAGTACAATAAGTATGTGAACACGACTTGCGCAACTGCCCTCGCAGAAGTTTTCCGTGTCTTCGAAGACGCTGCGAAAACTACTTAGAAGGCTGGGAAGCTTCCTCGCTTTCTGAGAAGGCCCGCCCCTTCTCACTTCCCCCCCGTCACTAGCAGCCGAATCCAGAGGGGGCACAGAGGGGGCCCGACACCCCACGGAACCCTCGCAGGATGGGTCCCGACCAGCAGACGTCGGGGCAACTCCGGCCGTGGCTGCGAGGGGCAGGTCCCCTGCGATCTCACCCCCCGAACCTCCATTTCTAGAGAAGACGCAGAAGGTATGGACCCCCCCAACCCCGCGGACGACATCTCGCAGGGCGCGTCCTGACCAGCAATCTCGGGGCGATGCCCGTCGTGGCTGCGAGGAGCAGGCAGAGGCATCGGCACACATTCTTCCCCTGGCCTGCTCCTCCTCCGCGTCCACACAGAGCACTCGACAAGGAGAGCTATCAGTGGGCACAGGCAAACCCTCCTCCTGCTCGTCCTCCTCCTTCAGAATCGACACCCAAACCTCTCCGGAATGTGCATCTAGGAAACCCCCAGAGGTCTGAACCTCTTCCCGAGAACATGTGTTTCATCCCGATCCGCTTGAGAAGGGTCCTGGAGACCTGGACGACCCCGAAAAATCAAAAAGGAAGGTTCATCCGAACGATTTCTTCCGATGCCACTTCTTTTGGGCGACTGCTTCTGGGGCAACTTCTTCCGGACGATTTCATCTGGACAACTCCATCCGTAACATGATTCTTCCGACCACGCTTCGTACAGGCGACCTCTTCTGGCGGACTTCTCCCGACCGACTTCTTCCGAAAACGACCTATTCCGAAACAACTTCTGCCAAACGACTTTTCCGGACGACTTCTTCCGGACCACTTCTTCTGGACGATTTTTTCCGGACGACTTCTTCCGGACGACTTCTTCCGAGACCATTTCCTCTGGGCGATTTCTTCCGGGCCACTTCTTCTGGACCAATTCTTCCGGACACCTTCTTCCGAACCACGTCTTCCGAACGACTTCTTCCGAACCATTTCTTGCGAACAACTTCTTCCGGACGACTCTTTCCTAACAATTTCGTCTGAACATCTCCCTCGACAAATTTCTCCGCTTCCTATCCTCGTTCATCCTCCTCCTCCTCCTCTTCCTCCATCCTTTCCTCCACATCCCCTCTCCTCTCCCCCTCCTCACCCTCCTCGTCCTCCTGGTCCTCCTCTTATTCGTCGTCGTCGTCGTCGTCCTCCTCCTCCTCCTCCTACATCTCCTCCGCGCCGAGTTCTTCCGAGAACAATCTCTTTGTCGCCGACTTCTCCCAGACGGCTTCTTCTGAACAACTTCTTTCGGACCACTTCTTCCGAGGGCGACTTCTTCCGCGACGACTTCCGGACCAATTCTTCCGGACCGCTTCTTCCAAAGAAAGCTCTTCTGGAAGAAATCGTCGCGGAAGAAGCCGTCGCGGAAGAAGTCGTCGTCTCCCGAAAATACATGAGACTCGCGTCCCCGAGGCCAGATTCCCTAGCAAATTATGCAGGCCACGAACCCAATTAAATTATACACATTTTGCGCCTCCGAGGCAGCAAGCTATCGTAGATTACACAACATTCGCGCCCCCAAGGCAACAGACCCTGGTGAATTACACAATGCTGTCGTCCCCGAAGACATAAACCTTTGCAAATCACACCGTGTTCGCGTTGCCGATGCCACGAATGCTCCAAGGCGCCCGAGGATGGTTCCAAGACGGCCCAAGAGGGCACAAAAAGGCCCCAAGAGCGCTCCAAGAGGCCTCCCGGGAGAGCCCCAAGAGACCCAATTCGTAATTTTACACAAGTGTGTGAAGGATTTTGGCCTTCTCGCGTTTTCGGCTTTCCGACGCTCCAAGACGGCTCAAGAAGCTCCCAAGACGGCCCCAAGGCAGCCCAAGACGCCTTCAAGAGTGCCCCAAGACGGCCCAATAGGGCCCCAAGATGGCGCAAGAAACGTTCAAGACGGCCCCAGAGGGCCTCAAGAAGGATCCAAGCAGGGGACCACAAACCGAACCTTCGATATTTGTCCCCCGAAAAGCTCTCAGGAGGCCCCAAGAGGCCGCCAGGAGGCCCCAAGAGGCGCCCAAGAGGCCTCCAAGAGGCCCAAGAGATACCCCACGAGGCCCCAAGAGGCCCCCAAGAGGCGCCCAAACCGCCTTCAAGAGGCCCCCGTGATGCTCCCCACGACACCCCAACACATATACACGAGACCGCAAACCCACAACCGAGGCATGGTGTCGGGATGGGCCGAAGGCCACTAGGATTACGCCAACGTCTCAATTTGCGCGGATGTTTCCTATCCGCCCCCGCACGATGTTCCCAGATGCGCCAAGGCAGCGCTCAGACGCGCCGACGCGATTCCGATATGTCCCA